GGGCCATTAACCAGCGTATTTAAAGGATTATTCTCATAAAAAAAATATTAAAAACTATGTTGAATTAATTGGTGCAATGTGAATTTTATTATAGATTTTATCAAGATTAAATAATTTGCATATTTATCATTTTCAGTGAACTGCATACTGATATATTTGATTTTAGAAATTATTGCTTTGTAAATTCAATAAGCCGTGTATGTATATCGATAAAAAAGAATTATTCATAATTTGAAAATTTATAAGTTTAATAAAATCGTATAAAAATCTAAAGACAAATTATAATAATACATAATATTGTAGGGATTTGTTTCAGTTACATTATATTAATTATTTTGCTCGTAATAAGTTTGGCTGCAAAAAATTTTAGGTTATGCTTAGTATAGTTTTACCTTGATTAAACATAACTTAACATTTTTTACAGCTAAGATCTCTTTTACCGTAAAGTGTCACATATATTATAATTAATATTGACGGATCTCTTCTACTGTGATACGCCATCTGGTGAGATTTTTTGAACTATTATATCGCGTTCACCAATCAGAATCGTTTATAACTTAAGTGGCGAAAAATGGAACTACTTAGCTACTACCGCATGTGAAAAACATAAACCATACGCCTACAAAAGTGATTACAATATGATTTTTCTCATTTTATTTCCCACTGATTATAACCTCTATATAACTGTATAAAAACTGTATTAAACATTCAAATTATATCATTCAACCTGAGACTGCATAGAATAAAATTTACAGAATAAAAAAAACATAGAAAAGGCGATGAAGTTTAAAATATATATAAACGTTTTAAGTCCAAAAGGAACTATGTTTTAACAGTTAGAGAGATACTTATGCTTTTTATTTCAGGATGTCAATTATGTCGAAAGTACAATTAAGCGTAGCACATTTTTTACAAAAAGATTCATTTTCCACCAAGTAAATCGCATTTATTCTGTTTCGTTTGTTGAGCTTAAGAAGTAGGCGAGGTCGCATTAAAGTTCTTTTAAACGAGCATGTCATGGTCGTGCAATAAAAGTACTTTACACCCACTTGTAAAGTGAGATAATGGAAAATAATCAAATTCGTGTTTAATTGCTCGTTTTCATGGAGACAACAACGTTTTAAAAGATTCATATTATTGTATATAGGCAAAACATTTAAAAATTTTAATATTATTTCAATAATAAACCTATAAGGTTAGAAATAAGTCTAGATTTTAGATTGTTTCTATACTTACTCCTAACAGAGATACCAGCCTTATATACCTAACCTAGAAGTTTTAACTTTATGTTCATTCCTTATCTTGTAAGTTAACCTAACTTTCGAGATGTTCATTCCCTGACATTTCACACTATAGTTTAAGTTTTGAAATTATATTTCTTTATCATTTTGAGGTTATGTTAAAATATGAATATTTTGACCTTAATATTCAGGTTATGTTAGGTTTTTAGGTTAAAGTAAGGCGAAAAATATATGACAGACTGTCAAACATTATTAAATTATACTAATTTATCATTACAATGATTAATAGTGTTCATATTCACATACTGACAGTTATTGGTACCACAATAGTGAATGTCGGCATAACATTTTAATTTCTGAATAAGAGATTTGCCTTTGAATATATAGACAATTGATGCTTCAAAAAAAAAAGAGAGAGAATGCCGCAAGCTACATTCTTTCATAAATTCTCGATTTCGAAGCACCTTGATGAAATGTGATATTATCCACGTGCCTAATATTCAGAAAGCGTTATTTCCTCTAGGCATATTGGTGGGCCTCATCCTTTATCACTCTTCTCTCTTTCATTTCGAATTCCCCGAATACGCGCGCACGGCCCTGAAATGGCATAAGAAATCTGCGAGACTCCGCTCGTATATTTTAATCAGGATCTCCCCCTTCATCCCTCTCAATCTCTTTTGGAGTCCTCTCACCCTGTTTTCTCTTTCTCTCTTTTTCTCTTTCTTTCCTTCTCTTTCCTTCTCATTGTCTTTGTCCCACCTATTCTTTTTCTCTGGTCGTTTTCCGCTCCGCCTCCGCCAGAGGAGACTTATAAGAAGAGAATAAAAAGGCCCTCGGGTGGATGAAAAGAGCTGAATAACTCTGGGATAAAAGCCGAATAAATCTTTTTATTATCCTCGTCTCGTTCCAAGTTCGCTTCACCTCACCTCGCTACGCCTAACCTCCTGGCGTATATATATATGTATGTATGTATGTATATTCCTACGTAAAAGTACGTAAGACTTGTTCTCGTGTAAGAATCCTTGGTAGTACTTCCCCTGATCTCCCTCATCCCTTTTTTCTTACATCATTTCCATTCTTTTGTCCTCTCCTTCTTCTTGATCTTCCAAAAACCCTCAATGTATTTTTCTCGCATCATCTAACACACTATTCAGCTTATGTACCGACTTTTCGCAAATATATATATATATATACATATATATTTATCGTTCATCGTTCATAACTCTAACTAATAGTCTGAAAACAATTTTCCATAAAGGAGCATGTAATTAGCTATAAACCCTATCCCTCCAGCTTTTTTGTATATACAATTTCTAGTTTTCCATTCCCATTTCCACTTTTTCCAATTTCCACTTCTATTTCCGTTTCCAATTTTTCTAATTTCCATTCACACTTTTTCTAATTTCCTTTTCCATTTCCATTTCCTTTTACACTTTTTCCCACTTCCACTTTTCCCAATTACCATTTCCACTTGTACTAATTTCCATTTCCACTTTTTCGAATCTTGCCATTCCTATTTCCACTTTTTCTAATTTCCATTCAACCTTTTCCTAATTTCCTTTCCCACTTCCACTTCCACTTCCACTTTTCCCAATTTCCATTTCCACTTTTACTAATTTCCATTTCCACTTTTTCCAATCTTGCCATTCCTATTTCCACTTTTTCTAATTTCCATTCAACCTTTTCCTAATTTCCTTTCCCACTTCAACTTCCACTTTTCCCAATTTCCATTTCCACTTTTACTAATTTCCATTTCCACTTTTTCCAATCTTGCCATTCCTATTTCCACTTTTTCTAATTTCCATTCAAACTTTTCCTAATTTCCTTTCCCACTTCCACTTCCACTTCCACTTTTCCCAATTTCCATTTCCACTTTTACTAATTTCCATTTCCACTTTTTCCAATCTTGCCATTCCTATTTCAACTTTTTCTAATTTCCATTCAAACTTTTCCTAATTTCCTTTCCTACTTCTACTTCCACTTTTCCCAATTTCCATTTCCACTTTTTCCAATCTTGCCATTCCTATTTCCACTCTTTCTAATTTCCATTTACACTTTTCCTAATTTCCTTTCCCACTTCCACTTCCACTTCCACTTTTTCTAATTTCCATTTCCACTTTTACTAGTTTCCACTTCCACTTTTTCCAATCTTGACATTCCCTTTTCCATTTTTTTTAATTTCCATTTCCACTTCCCTTTTCACTTTTCCTAATTTCCTTTCCCACTTCTTTTTTCAATTTCTATTCCCACTTCTATTTCCGTTTTCACATTCACTAATTTTCACTTCCAATTTTTTTAATTTCCATTTCCACTTCTATTCCTACTTCCACTTTTTCCAATTTCCATTCACACTTCCATTTTCACAATTTTCTTTATAATTTCTGAATGTTTAATTTTCAAATTATCGCTTTAATTTTTTTTTTAAACAGAAATTCAACCTTAAATAAATTTGAAAAAACGAAAGATAAATTGCAAATTAGGAAAAGTAGAAATGGAAGTGGGAATGGAAATTGGAAAAAGTAGAGGTAAAAATGGAAATTAGAAAAAGAGGAAGTGGGAATGGAAACTGGAAAAAGTAAAAGTAGAAATAGAAATTGAAAATAGTGAAAGTGGAAGTGGAAATTAGAAAATTGGAAATAGTAATGAAAAGTAGAAAAAATGGGAATGGAAATTGGAAAAAAATTAATGTGAAAATAGAAATAGAAGTGGAAATCAGAATAAAAACCACATTGGAACCGTCATTTTGAATTTTAAAAAACAGACATCAGATTTCGCAATCAGTGATTCCAAATCTGAAATATACGGAATATAAAAAAAAGAGAAGTTAGTTTTGAGTAGGAGAAGAATGTGGGAGGTGAAAAAAATATAAAAATAAAAAAAAAAAATCTCATAATAAATGTGGGAAGTAGAAAAAATTACTCAACTCTCCTCCCCCCACCCAAGTATATATAAATCTGCTACAAATAGAAAACTTAATATTTTGTCACATATTGACTTTATTGCCGAGAGATTCCAACCAAATGCATGTATATCTATCGATTCACTTCAATATATATAAAAATATAGAGCACACATATTTTATTTCCATTTTTCTCTATAATATAAAAATTTCCTTATATCAATATGACATAGAAATATATTTTTCCAACTTATTTCAATTGTCAGTATGCGATATGTAATTTTCATACATATATGCGGATAGAAATTTTTCCCCCTATCTTGTTTTACTCTACTTTATGATTTTGTATTATATATATATATATATATATATATATATATATATATATATGATAAAGGTCAGACGACGCAAAAAGCAATTTGAAAAAAAAATGCTTTCATGTTTTTGATTTTATATTCTTTTCCTTGTGGTCACAGTTCGGGTAAATTGACTTGAATAGTATTGTACAATATATATATAGTCTCCCGTATACTTGAAATTGATAAAACATAATCTCCTCAAGTGGTGAGGGTTATCACATAAAAGATTTCTATATAGCAATAAGTTACATTTGTCGTTCTTATCAATTGTATTTATCGAATCCTTTCAATATTGTCAAGTAGCTCTTATCGAAAATGCGACATAGACATTCGTGGTACTGACAACGAGAATTGATTCATCTGATTCAAACATAGTTCGAGTTTGTGAAACGTGTTGGAATGTCAGATGAATCACATTATCGATTCAAATACTTTTCAGTTTCTAGAGTGCTATATATATGTATATTATATATACTTTAAAAAAATAAAGAAATTCATTACCTTTTGTTGTGGTGCAGCTCACACTCTTTCTCCATTTTCTGAAATTAAAGAAAAATCGGTTATATTTTTTCCCATACAGTAAAAAAATTAATTACAATTCTGCCCCCTGAAGGATTGTTGCAGAGTTATAAAAGGCGCGAAATTCAAATTGTGTCAGAAAAATATATTTACAAAAAAAAAAGTAGAATAAATGTATTCAAATAATTAAAAATTGAAGCACATTTTTAAAAAAGCAATAATGTGCTAAATATTTTTTGTCCATTTCATTAAGCAAATTGACTCTAAATGAGAATGGACATTCAAAAATAAATTCCCCTCTAAGAATGATATAACCCTCCGGATTTTCTGCCCATCCTTATATACTTTGATTCAAGCATAATCTGTGTCCATCTCTCTTATATACAATGTACATTTTTCCTTCTTTAACTCCTTTCTTCTCTCTCTCTCTCTCTCTCTCTCTCTCTCTCTCTCTCTCTCTCTCTCTGTTTCTCTCTCTCTCATCCATTTCTATATTATATCCCCCTTGGCGTCAACCCTCGAGGAATTAAGTTCCAAAGGGGAGACCAGAGTTTATGGGGTTATAGGTTACTGTGGACGATTTCAAACCCCCTTTGCGTTTCTGAGATTGGTATCCATACACACGCGAATAACACTGTTCTGTGTCAGACTCGCATTTATGAGAGAGCAAGTCCACTGGTATTTGTGAGATGGGTTTCTAGGCTTCTTGGTTTGTATACATATATATATATATATGTATATAGCAAATGGGCGCACAGTTGCGTGTAAATACATCAGAGTAGTGCGATTTACATGGAATGCGTTTGAGTGCGTGTTAGCTTCCAACGAACACAGACAATTGCAAATACACTGGGAAGTCATATTACACACACACATATACAAATGTACATGCATATAGATTGAAAACACAAATACAGAACCAGAGAAATGTGGATTCACAGTATAGTCTCGTGCAAATGCGGTATACGTATAGCACACGCGATCGTCAAACTCGAAGCCATAAACATAAACAAGGGTTGTTAGGACAGCCTCCGAGCCAACGGGCTCTTACAATCAGAACTAAACATTTTGCACCCTTTGTCAGTGTTTCTCAACTCACTTTACTCCGAGAATTTACTCCTTTTGTTTACTTACTGCGGCTTTATCGTCTTTATAATAATCTGTATATAATAGTTTTTGCTATTTGAATTAATGAGCTTTATTCAGCACAAAAATATATAATCTGGTTCAAATTTTAGACTGCGATTTTAGATTAAGTACAAAGAGATAAGTATACGGATTAGTTCAGAAATTGTACGAAAACAATGAGGAAATTATTTGTATTAGTCCAGCAATTAGTCTGGATGAAAAGATAAATCCGTGATCAGTCCGGAATTGACATGAAATAAAACCGCAATTAGCTGGCAACAATTTGATTTAGTTAGATAAAAAAAACAATACAAAATGTGTCCAGCAGTTCAAAATGAGCTGATGCTGAACAAAAATACCACAGTGTCCAAGTGCTGGAACTGTTCTGAACTCCAAAGAGAAGAGTGTTCTAAAACAAAAGTGTTCAAATTTTGTTATCAAACAGTTCTAGAACTTTATGTTCTAGATTTATTTTGTAAAATTATTTGTTCTGTACTGCGTGATCTGTAACAATTATGCAACATATGTTTTAGAACATCAGTTCTAAATTAGTTCTAGAATTATGTAATAGCTATTATAATTTGGTATACAGTGTTGAAGTAAAATTTAAATCAGAACTTACATACAAATTCTGAACCTTTGTTAAGTTAAAGATCTATATACCAATTTTTTAGCAACATTAGTTTCCAAACCCGGAATAGATTTTTCAAAATCGTTTTCCCTGGTTAAAATTTTAGATTGATTTCAGATTAAATACAGACATATCAGTCCAGAAATTGTACAAAAACAATACGAAAATGATCCGTATTTCTCAGTAATCAGTCCAGATGAAAATAAAAATCCGCGATCAGTCCGGAATAGTTCGAAATTGACATGAAATAAATCCGCAATTAGCCTGCAACAATTTGATTTTAGTTAGATCAAAAAACAATCCAAAATGAGTCCAGAATAATCCAGAATTTGTATATAAACTATCGGCAAACGGTATACGCAACAATCTGGATTGAGTACTGTCAAAAAACTGAATCCATGAGACTGTAATAATCTAAAATCTTTATGGAAAATCGGGTATTAGTTCTCAGCGGGAATTGCTAATCGATTTGAAATATCTTATAAAAATAAGTTAGATATGGGGTCCATTGTATCTGACCTATCGGCTTACCAACGGTATTGACTCCTATTGACTGTAGTCCTCGGACAACTTATCTCTTTTTCAGTAATTCGCAAATTGATTCGTGATTCTCACTGTATATCGTCGTTCAAACATTCGTTCAACAGTCATCGTACTACTGACTCACTTTAATTGAATGCGATCGTATTCTGTGGGTTTAGATAGAACACTACGGCCCCTCGACTTAGGGCAAGATTTTTCCAATCCCTAGAAACTATGCAGTTTCTTGCCCGAATTGTTATACCGCAACTCATACGTCGACAGTTTCAAAGAAATCTGATCACTTTTGGATCAGTTTCTTCTCCATTTTCTTGCTCTAAGCGATGTGAGCTTTTAACCACTGCCCCCATGGGTCCAACACCAAATGATCAGGCAGGACTCTTTTCTCGCTCAAGCAAGGAGAGCTTCCCGGGGCACTTGATCCCCGTGGTACCATTAGACTAAGGTACGAATACAAGTTTGAGGATTCTATCTAAGCCTCGAACTTGGCTACTTCTTCCTTCTTATTAGTCGCTTTTTACGACACGCAGAGAGCAACGTTGGCATTATTCGTCTACCGATGTCAACACAGTCACGGTATTAGTCTGCAATAATCCTGATTTAATCTGGTAAAAATTCTAATTCGAACTAAGTCTAGAAAAATTCGGAATTAATATGTACTAAATCAGCAGTCGCAGTCCGAACAAAAATCTTAATCAGAAAGGAGTCCGAATTAGTCAGCAATTTGTATGAAAAGAATCCGGAACTGTTTCGGTATATAATCCGACATTCTGTATATGTATTAAATCCGCAATTATCCCGCAACGATCTGGATTTAGTTAGATTTTGCTGCTTTTATTACAGGTTCCTACTCATTCTGCCAGGTGAATTTCTCTCACAGTTGAAATGAGTCTCAAGTACTATAAGAACTGTTCACTGTCGGCGTAAAAGACATGTTACCTCTTCTGACCAATAGTCACTATACTTTGGTTAATATTTCGAAATGTGGATAATTAACCCGAAACAGTTCGCTTTAGAGTTGGGTTTCTATTAAGCGGAATTAGTTCGATTGGGTCCAAAATTAGTATACTATTTGTGTAACTAGTAAATCAGGTCTAGTCCGAAATTAATCGGATCATACCCAACTAATAAATGCAAAATTGCTTCTATTGAATCAGAAATTAATCCGGCCTGACTAATCAGTAAATCTAGAATCTGCATTCAATAGTTACGTTTGATCGAACTGATCTCGAAATGATTATCTCTTTTTCAGTAATTCGCAAATTGATTCGTGACTCTCACTGTATATCGTCGTTCAAACATTAGTTCAACAGTCATCGTACTACTGACTCATTTTAATTTAAAGCGATGGTTTTTCTGTGCGGATTTAGATAGAACACTATACAGATCCTCGACTTAGGCCGGGATTTATCCAGTCCCTAGAAACTATGCAGGTTATTCTTGCCCGAATTGTTATACCGCAACTTACACGTCGACAGTTTCAAAGAAGTCTGATCACTTTTGGATCAGTTTTTTCTCCGTTGATTTCTTTTGTGATATTTCAATACAGTCATTTTGGTCAATCTAGAGGTAAATTGTGTAAATTAAAGTATAGAGCATTACAAATATAAAGATAGAAATAAAACGTTACACATAATTCCAATAAAGCATTAACGTTGTCAACATATAAAATTTTCCTTCTCTACAGTCAATTTTGACAGTAAATAACAATTTTCTCTTCATTCTGGTATAAATTAACTTACACGGAATAATGTATTAACCTATTTTTTACTAAATCCTTTTCTGCAATTTTGAGCTCTGCGATCTGCATCGTCGCAAGTACATATTCTTCTCCGTAAATTGAATTCACAAATTGCACACAATTATATTCTATTGAAGCCAGTAGCGTGTATATATATCTCGTGCGGTACATATATCTATAGTGCAATTAAGAATTCCTCTTTCATGGAAATGATAATCAAGCAAGACCTCACGAAATGATTTCGTCTTTATATAGCGGTGAAATACTTGAGACGGACGTCATCATAATAGATGACAGTGGTACATACATACAACCGACCTTTTCACCTCATTCTCTTTTTTTTTTTTTGTTCTTCGTCTCTCCTCTCATCTCTCTATCTACACAACGAAGTGAAAGTCGAGTACATAGTCATCAGAACACGTATACTGCAATGCGAGCAAGCACACGGAAATGTATTTTGAACACATATATATATGTGTGTAAAAAAAAATGCTTGCTGTACATACCAGTTGTTAGGTTACCGGTTATATCTGTACATGTATATAGTAGAGATGAACATAGTGGAAGCGAGTACGTTGAAACGCGAAGTGTCGCGACCGTGTCATATCCGACACTGTGGATTGTATTAGTGTGTGTGTGTGTATGTTGGCATTTTGTGTGATGGTACATGAGTATGTACCGAGCATGCCTCAAGGCTCGAAGATCAAAGAGGCGACACTGAGCGTCGCGCTACTGAATAGTGCAGTGGTTTTATGGTACATGATGGTGAACAGATGGATGGCGACGAGGCCAAGAGGAGGGTGGCAGAGAGTGGAGTGTGGAAACGACGTCTATACACCTCTACCACTCCTCTCTCTCTCTCTCTCTTTCTCTGTTCCTTTTCCCTCATCCTCAGTTACCTATATTTACATCTTCATCCTTTGAGCACTGTTGTATGTACTTACACTCTACTCTCATATGCACAAGAATAATAGGTTTCG